AAGTAATAAAACTTGCTGGATGTTATGTGCCTATTTATTCAATTATGTACTTAATGGAGGTTTTCAGCGATTATTAATTGCTTATTTGGTAATATTTTTGCTATGATATACAATAGAAAATTGTTGTTTTTCTCATATATGAATAAGATTGTTGTATATAAATTTATCCAGTAGGCACACCATTAAAACAAGAACACTCGAGATTGAAGATATAGAAAGAGGGAGTGAATGGTGGAAATCAGAGAAAGGCTAAGCTCCTATTCTTGTTCCAACGACATGTAGGGCGTTTTCCTTGTATAGCTTCATGATATTCTCTGTATATGCTACCCCCATATACAATATAAAATAATAATTATATGAATGAAATGAATATTGTAATAAAGTTAGATGATGACGTCCGATATCGAGATGTATTTTGCGGCCGATATAGAGCTGCAATGCCTCCTATTGCTTAAATGATCTTATAAGGCCCTCCATAATTGATTGATAGAATAGCAAGGCAGAGCATCGAACTTGTTGAGGTCGAATTAGCCATAGATAGGTCCTAATTTGATTGTTGGGTGAATTCATGGTTTTGTCTTTAGGCTATTTGTGAAAAACTGGCATCAGATTGATTTGATAGTGTAAATAATATTTGAGTTATTTATTGATTAAACTCTTGATATTGTTATTAGCTTTAACTAATTCCGAGGAGTTGGAGCAATCTTGGATCTGAAGGTGGAGCAAACTTGGTTCTCGGGCGAGTTGATGAACTGTCGAAAACACCTCTCAACCCGTGTTAGGTTGGCGGTGAAATGGCAGTAATTACACTCCTGAGTTGGTTTGATCTGAATTGACCCGTGAACTCCAATCATGGGTTTGCGGGTGTGAGTTGAATTATCATGACTTCATGGGTTGACAAATCTTATTTGACTTGTCAGTTTTTCTAGGAGTACAGGGATGTTCTTTAAATGTGTAGTTTATGAACTTATAGAGGTGTATTCATCACATCAAAATTTGAGGTATAAAATTTTTGAAATGATACAACAGAAAAGGCATTTTCAGATGAAGCCTTAAAAAATTAATTAAATCAAATTTACTATCCGCCAATTCCTGCCAGCAGTCATCCAATGATATTAATTAAGAATTGGGTGAGTAATTCTGCTTGAAACTAATCCTAAACTCTTGGGAATTTTATGGCAGAAATATAGTCTAAAGATAATTCATTCCTGTACTCTTGGAGTTTGTTTGAGATTTGATTAACCCTATTAAAGTGTAGTTATCAGAACCTTAGCCAATAAGAGCAATGAAATTAAGGCTTCGTTTGAAGGAACTTCGCCAACTCCATTGAAAGACACGTCGGTGGGATGGAGAAGACCATCTGAGATCTAAAACAGAAAAAAAGTTATCATTTTTTCGAAGCAACTTTGGGTGATGTTAGTGAGACGTTTTATCAAACAAAAGTTTGTCCATGTATCGACATTCATTGCAATGCAACGGAGGTTCACCATATTCTCAAAAGAAGCCCAAGATCAGGCAAATTATTTTGTTCACTTTCGCTTGAACAAAGATAAATTTAAGTTTAGGTGTTATGAATTTACATATCTAATATCTAAACCTTGATTTCTACATTTTTACCATCAAAATCTAAACCCTAAACAAAAATACCATCAATTTAACTTATCACCCAAATCATTCATATCATAGTTAAAATATCATTATTTTAACTTTTTAAGTTTTAACAAATAAAATACACCTTTTCATACATAGGAATCATGTATGTAAATATTGAACTTTAGATGTTAGATATGTAAATGCACAAGATTTGAATAAAATTATGCATCAATCTGCTACGTTCAGAGAGAAAAAGATGGAAGTGGAGGGAGAGATCAATGGTTGTGTATTAATCAAGCAAAAGTTTTCTTAACAGTCAAAAAAACACAGTAATAAGTAATAACGGATAGAACTCCACATCAATCTGAAGCCAAACAAAACCCTCGCACCTTACACAGGAACCATAAAACCCTAAACAACAAAAACCGAACCGCTGAACCATACCTAAACCTCGTCCTCGTGTAGAAGCATGTTGGGGATTCCCTTGTTAATGGGGAATAGCCGGCCAGTCTCGGGGCAAACGAGGCCGCCCTCCTCGACGTGGAGCTCGAGAAGAGCGCGGTGGAATTGGCGGAGCAATTGGTCGTCAGAAGCGAGAACGGAGGGATCGGGGGCTTCATTGGGAAGAAGATCGTGAAAGCCTAGGGAGCGCGCAGCGCCGATGAGAGCCGGCCAGTTGATTTTGGGGAAGACGCCTCGGAGAAAGTCGGCGTTGAACTCGACCTCCTTCTCGACCCACTTCTCCGCCTCCAGCCGGAGGGGATAACCGTTCGTTACGCCCTTAATGTTGCAGGCTAGCATGTTGTGCGTTAGAAGTCTCATCTCTCTCGTTCTTGCCCTACTTCTCTGGAAATCGCTCTGGAGAACAGCTTGAAAGGAGATGGGTCGGTTGGTTCTCCCATCTTTTAAGTTCGACTTTAAGGCTATAATTGGCCCGGATGAAGATGAATGGGCTGGTTGGGTGGTCCAGATGGGTAAAAATTGTATGAAATCTAGAAGAAATGTTCTCATATATTATAAAGATTTCATTATACATTTTATTAAGAGTTTAATCATGATGTCCGTAAGAAGAGGAGAAAGAGGGAGAGGGAAGTGCACCTTAATGAATAGTAATTTGAATTATTGATTAGCGTTTTCATATGAAATAATTTCATGTTTATAGAGTACGAGGTACAATGTATAAAATTGTATGTTTATCACTTCATTAAAGGAGGTGTTACGTGATATTTAAGTTATTTTAATTGTATAGGACTTTGGTTCGCTGCCCTATGACTTGGTCGGTTGAAGTTATCCAACCCTGGTTTGACAAGACTTGTTCGTCCGAATTTATTGAATCGGGGTTGTCGTTTAGCTCTCGATGGACTTTGAGTTAGCAAGAGTAGATCTGGCTTGGTTTAACTGGCCGGTTGTTCTTAGTCTAGCTGTTGATTATTGATCCATAGATAAAGAACTCCTATCGGCGGAGTAAGGCTAGGCTATCGGGTAGTTGGTGAATCACCGTAATTCGATAGGTAGCTCACTCATTGATAAGTCCTTCCTTCAGTAGGCTCTAATGTGATTATGCTATGGCTAGTTCTTGACCCCGAATGAGGGATCTCAAGCGTGGCTGTGAGATAGCTGACAATGTGGAATTCTTCTCTTGAGTTGATTTATGACTAGAGATAGGTTGATGCTTCTGCTTGACTCAATTGACCTTGATGTTTGGTTCGGACAGCCTACTTTCGGTAGGTATTTTGTCCTGGTTTAGGGGAGGTTGCATCTGGTCAGGCAAATGATTTGGTATTTTGTTGTTGAACCCTTAGTTTCTCACTAATGGACTTTTGATCTTCAGC